TTGTGATGCTGTAATTCTGAGTGTTTTATGTGCTGCAGAACAGGAACCTGCTGTAAAACAGCAATTATGCTGAGTCAGACTTGATTTTTAATAATAATAATAATAAATTACAAGTTATGTAAAAAAATCTGGTGAATTTTTTTTCTTATCGTAAAAACCTTCGAGGTTCAAGCCATTTCTCAAATATTTAACTGTTTATTGATTTGTTTACACTTTCTTCCAGAGTTTTTTCCTTTAAGAAAAAAGACAAACAGTTTTGTGTCGATCTTTGGTTTGAGAAAAAGGCGCTTCCTGTGTGCAGACGTAAACAGAGAGCTGCACAAGTCTGTGAGTATCTTTGAGCATCTCTAAACTTCAACAGAAAATCAGTAAACCTGACTTTTTTTTTTTGATGTAACAGAGGAGAAAGGACAGGAGGGATTGTCTCTTCCAGCATCTTTGGTTGAAGCTGGGAAGCCCACGTGATGCGTATCACTCTACGAGTGAGAACCGGCTGCTCAGACCAGGGGGAGGTGGTCTACGCGTGGCTCAGAGGTTCCCGCATCCTTCTGTAAAGAGGCAGAGACGGAGCGAGGAGGTGAACCCCGCTGACCCTCTGCGATCAGAATCCCACCCGTCTCATCCTCCAAAACACGTAAACCCCGGTCATCCGGAACAGGAGCAGGCGGGCGCCGTGTCCAAAGAAACCATCTCGTCCTGCGACGACCCCCTGAGGGTCTTACAAGCCAACGGGCATGGCAGCCCAGTCAAGACGAACATCGCAGACCGGGCAGAACACCGATAAGAACTTTAGGTTAAGTAAAAAACAAATTAAAGTCTTTATGTTAAACATAAAGATTTTATAAGTGACGGCATCTTGGGGGTAGATCCTCCGAGGTAGAAACAGCAAAGACCACCAACTATCTAAGGTGATTTATTCTTCTTTTGTGACAGAAAACCTGTCAGAAAAGAGATAAAATCTTTAAAATAAGGTGCTTCAATCAAGTTTTATCTGACCACAGCCAGGTCTCCTGTTTGAACAACACATGATAGAGAAACTTGGTAAAACGTTTGGTCCTGTTGTCCTTTAACCTCCACCGTCTGTTAAATTTTAATCCTTGAACCAGATGAGGCAATCTTTGTTTTACTTTTGTAAAACTGAGGAACTGGGATTAATCCAAACAGAGAAAAGGTTTAGAACAACCCAAACCGAGGCCTGAAACTTCCAGAACAAATGTGAATAAATCAGATGAAAGCACTCATATAAAGTGATCCGGTGCTGGACACCAAAACGTCCCCAGCAATAAAACTATTTATTTATTGAAACATGTTTAATGACTTTATCTCTGACTTGATGCTTGTTATTTATATATTTCATGATGTTCTGTTTCTGACAAGAAAGAACAAAAATAAATAGTAACTATTCTGTGTTTGGTGTTTGTTTCTGTTTTAAGAAATTACTGAAATCAGATATGTCAATATGTTTGAATAAGGAAGTTCTGTGTGGCTTTATCTTAATGATAGTGTCATGTAAATCAATGGTTTATCTTCAGTTTAAGGGCCTTTAGGTGCAGTTATGTTGACTTGGCTACAATGATCAAGAAGAGCTTTATTTAGACCTTTTTATTGCTAAATAATAATAATAAGAGCTTTATTTAGAACCTAATATTGTTAAATAATATTAAGAGCTTTATTTAGAACTCAATATTGTTAAATATAGGGA